AATCAGATAAATACGCGGGCAAACAAATAAATCGTAGAGTGAAATAAATAGTGAATTGCTATATAAATAAATTCTTGTGCCTTATAAATAAGTGAACTGGACTAAGTTTTGTTGCAGTATCTACTTTTATAAATAACTATAGTGCTTCAAATATGGATAAATTTTTGCTGAAATCACGAGCAGATGACGAAGAACCTAGCACAAGCTCCAGCATAAGTGCTGCAAAAAGAGCAAAAAAGGTGCTGAAAAGGAAGTACAATCAAGACTACCTTCGATATGGTTTCACTTGGTGTGGCGACGAAGCGGCTCCAAAGCCTGAATGCGTCATTTGCGGTGAACAGTTGTCAAATGAAGCAATGGTACCCAGCAAACTAAACCGTCATTTGATCACAAATCATCCCAGTTGCGTCAAAAAAGACATTCAATTTTTCCAACGGCGCTTGGATCAAAATAAGAAACAAAAGCAGTTTATGAAATCGGCGGTTACGGTTTCTGAAAAGGCATTAGAAGCAAGCTACCTTGTTGCAAAATTAATTGCACAACAAAAAAACCGCACACTATCGGTGAAACGCTTATTAAACCAGCATGCATGGAAATTGTTAGACTTATGCTTGGGCCAAACGAAGTTAAGGACGTGAGTAAAGTTTCTTTGTCGGCCGATACTGTTAAAAGACGTATCCAAGATATGTCAAGTGATATTTTGGGAACACTAATTAAAAAAATCATTTCGGCTGGAATTTTTGCGCTTCAAATCGACGAATCAACCGATATTAAAAATAAAGCACAACTGATGGCTATTGTACGTTTCGTTGACGAGGACTCTATTAAAGAACATTATTTATTTTGTAAGGAGGTTCCAGAGAGAACTACCGGTGAACAAATTTTCCAAGTAACTGATAATTTTTTTAAAATACATAATATTCAGTGGACCAATTGCGTTGCTATTTGTACAGATGGTGCTGCTGCAATGATGGGCAGTAAGAAAGGTTTTGTATCTTGTGTAAAACAAAAAAATCCGTCAATACAAATTACACATTGCTGCATACATCGAGAAGCATTGATGGTCAAAAATTTGCCCGAACAGCTTTCGATCACAATGAATGAATGTATTAAGATCATAAACATAATTAAATCGAGAGCCTTAAATTCGCGAATCTTTGGAATACTCTGTGAAGAAATGGGAAGCGAACATGAATCCTTACTGTTTTATACAGAAGTTCGTTGGTTATCCCGGGGAAAAGTTTTAGCTCGACTGTTTGAACTTCGCTACGAAGTGCGTGAGTTTCTTTCAAGTCAAGATATGTACGATCTATGCCAGCACCTTCATGATGAATACTGGATAGCCAAACTTGCATACATGGCGGATATATTCGAACATCTGAATGAACTTAATAAAAAAATGCAAGGACGGAATGAAAATATATTGACGTGCGCCGATAAATTACAAGGGTTCAAAAAGGAACTTGAACTTTGGCAGGAACAGTTGCAAAAAGGATGTCTAGAAATGTATCACAGGACCAACCACAGTACGATCGAAAACAAGCAGTTGATTGTGGATTTGGCCCAACAACATTTAAGTATGCTTCAACAAAAATTTGAATACTATTTCCATTCTATCAACACGGAACAATACAATTGGATTCGAAATCCTTTCGCAACCAATGCAATAAGTTCCACGGAAGCACTGCCATTGCAAACTCGAGAGGAGTTCACAGAATTAAGTAATGATATGACCCTAAAACTTAAATTCGACGAAGTTCCGTTAGATGTTTTCTGGATTTCCATCAAGACAGAATATCCACGCATCACCGACAAGGCCATCTTCACACTACTTCCGTTTTCCACAACATATTTATGTGAGCAAAGTTTTTCAACGCTTGTATTAATTAAAAATGATAAACGGTCATGCTTAAAAGATCTTGACCAAGAAATGAGAGTTGCGCTGTCTAAAATTGAGCCGAATATAAAACTTTTGTGTTCAACGAAGCAAGCGCAGGTATCACATTAATCAGTCATCATCATGTCAAAATATTTATTACTATTGACGTGTCAACAGAAGTAAATTTAGTATACCTACCTGTCCTACCTAGTATTTAGTATAGTTCTCATGTATGTACCTATTTGTATTTTTCATTCTATCTGAATAATAAAAAAAAATAAAAAAAAAATATGTATTATGTCCTGAGTGAAAATTTTGATGCGCCAAATCTGAAAGGGGCTTCTTCACATTTTAAAACAATAAAAAAAACTAAGGTAGTTTGGACATCCATAAATAATTAGTATACATGGAGTGAACTGACCCCCGACCTAGCTACGCCACTGCTATAAATATATTTTAGATTTTGGTGTGCCACGAAATTCTAGGGAGCAGTTTGGTGTGCCTCAGATGAGGAAAGGTTGCGGAGCACTGCTCTATACAATCGAGGGTGGAGGGAGTAAAAGGGGTGGTGGATCAAAAATCTTTCGACTTTTGGATTTAATTTCGAAAAAAGAATAAAATTTGATAACATTTAGAGGTCACTTTTGGCTTTTTCAAGCTCAAATAACCAATAAGAAGATTTTTCAAGGTATTTTGAGTTAAAATAAAAAATTAACATGCGCACGTGCTAAGAAAAAATATTAAAAGACTAACTTCTAAAGGAAAATTCGCACAAACTTTTAGAGGCCATTTTCTTTATTTTCATGACATTCTAAGGTATTCCACGATCTGAAATGTTATAATTAGTCGACCGTTTGGTTTTTGAAGACAAATACCTCTCCAGGATATTATTATTATTATTATTATTATTATTTGAGATATGCCCAAAATATGATGGAGAGCCATTCAATAGAGTATAAAAGTTATAAAAAAAAATATTTAGAAGCTCCTAATGTAGTTAGAGAGACTTGGAATATTTTAGGAAAAATATGTAAATTTGGGACAACAAATTTTTTTATTACTTGATCTAAAAATTTGAAATAATTTAACATTTTGGCCTGGAAAAGACGAAAATGACCATAAAAAAAAATAGGGCCCATGTGGAACGAGATATGGGACCGAAAGTAGGTTTTCGAGCGATATTGGATGGAAGAGGGACGAAAGGGGGTGAAATTATTTTCTTCCATCGTACCCGAAGTTCATTTTCCTAGAGCTAGAGGTTCGACATCCACTGAAGTCGGGGGAAAAGTAGGGAGAGATTGGAAATCATTAATTTTTCTATCCCTTACCATTTAAGCGTGGCAGAGGAATAAGGGTAGAAGTTTAGATATAATTTTCTTTTATTTTTCGCGATCCTCTACCCGTCCATAAATTAAAGGGTACTCATGTTATCTGTAAGAAAATTTTATTAGTCAATCATAATTTATAATTATTGTGGTTCAATGGATTTCATTCATCGAAGGATGGGAAAACTATTTCCAAAATGTTTTTATTAATAAGACTACAGCTCGTTAAACAAAAATAAAAAAAAAATGGTTCACAAACAGAAGATAAATGATACTCAAATACTTTGTCCTTGCCTATTTATACAGGGTGTTTTTTTAATATTGCGAAAAAAATTCAGGGAAGCGTCCCTTGGACGAAATGAAGCAAAAAAGTTCCTATGAACATATATATCAGCACTATGAGCCTAGAAGGCTCATGGCTTCATAGCCTATTTTCCTCCATCTTATTCGCTGTGCCCTGGCTACATTTGTTATAGATGGTTCTCTATATAATTTATTTATTTCAACGTTTGCTCTTCTTTGCCATACATTATTTACTATCTTTCCGCTTGTTACGTTGTAATCGTCACTCCCTTTTAATAATTGCAATATTTGATTGGTTCAGATATTCCAATGTATTCTAATGCTTTTTGAGTGCCCCTCGTATTTGGAAATATGGATGTATTAATTCGGGGAAATTGTCTCTGTCTAAAAATCAATAATTGCTGTCAGAAGTTGTGCGCACTCCTGGCTTACCTGTGGATGTGGAATACTCACGTTTTGCTGCCAAATAAACCAGTTGGTTTTAGTGTTTTGTTTAAGTGTTTCCGAACTAACTAAGGTAACAGAATCATTTTTTTTTATAATAAATAGTAGAAATCAATCTTATTATGTGTGTATATCCTGGTGAAATTATCTTTGAGTTATTTTATTCATTAATAGCGACATTTACGCGTAATATAAGTTCCATGCAATGTACAAAATGGCTGCCATTAATTTTATATATTTTTTTCTCAGTTATTTTAAAAAATCTTTCCATTCTTCATGTATTTTAATTTAAATACTATTGCAAATCTCTATTATTGTTGTAAACTTGAAATGTTCAATTTAAACATGTTTAATATAAATAGTAAGCTTTTATGGTTGACTTGTAGACTGACCACATATTTTTTTTTGAAGCAATGGAAAGATACTTTTTTTTTGTTGTAACTGACACGTTTTTTCTTTCTTAAAAATTAAGGAACTGGCTCTGTAAAGACATCATCGTAGGATGAGCTACATCTAGAAACCGTAAAATTTGTTAAAATCAATAAATTTCATTTTCTTTTTTTAGCGTTAATATCACTCATTCATGAATTAATTTTAAATTAAAGCCGATTAATTGTTTAAATGAATTAATTTTAAATTAAAGCCGATTAATTGTTTTAAAATTTAAGTTCTTTTATTTTCCTTACTTTCAACTGACAAGTTAATAGCAAATTTACTTTTATTGTACATCTAAAGGTATGGCGCCCAAATTAATTTAATTGAATTGTTTTAAGTCTTTTTAATTAAAGACCTTGTCATTGACTTGAAGGTAAATTCTAAACGAATCCCACTGACCTATTTTGATCTGAGCTAGGTCTGAGGCTTGTAAGAATTCTTATTACAAGGATTTTTACAATGAGACCAGGTAAGGGTTAAAAAGTTAACGTATCATCTGGTGCAAAATATGTTTTAAATCATAACTTTGTAACATAACACGCCATATATCTTTCTAAGTACTTTTACTAAATATAGACAGTGGAATATATAGGGAGAATAAAAAAAACACTTACCCTCAACGAAGGAAATCCGAGACCCACCATGAAGTTTGACGTCCAGTTAACAAGCACAGCAATTGACATGGCGGCAGGTCTAGGCCCTTGAGAGAATAGTTCGGCAGTGATCATCCAGGGTATGCTTCCGGGTCCCACGGCGAAAAATTTGACGAAGAAGAGTATTGAAACCACAGACAGGTACGACATCCAATCGATCATCTCCTGCACATAGCCAAAAAACTCCTATCAGGCGGTAGTAATGGTGTTCTTTCCCGAATGACGGGGAGGAGTGAGAGCATTTATGCGAAATAAAAATTTTTGTAGCACTGTGTTATTTACTTGTGAACTGATATTAATTTTATAACAAGCAAAATTTTACTTTGGCAAAGGTTCTCAGGTTTTCAGATTTTTCAAAATTATGCGGAAGTGCAAGAGGGGGTAAATAAAAAAAATATCCTAGATGAAATTCTTGTTCTTATATGAGATTTTTAGAAATGTATGACATTATTATCCTACTTCTGATGATGGATGCAGAAGAACCACTGTTGCTTAGTGCAAGAGAAATGGAGAGTGCAAGATAAATGGAGAGTACAAGAAAAATGGAGAGTACAAAAGAAATGGAGAAATAGAGAGTACAAAAGAAATGGAGAGTGCAAGACAACTAGTAGAATTGTTGAAGCTTTTCTAATACATAAGCAACAACTCTCTGAGGAACAGTGTGTAACAATTTCTAAAATGATAAAATGATGAACTTCTCTGTAAAGCAGCTAGAACATATTTATTCCTTACAGGAAGCTGTAGGTGCTGGAACTAAAGATTTTGCAGAATATGAGAATATATTCGGGAAGATGGGGAAGATTAAAAAAATTGGATTCAATAAATGGTGCAGTTGTCTAAGCGTCACCTAATTATTTCAAAAAAAACTTGTCAACAAAATAGCTTCCGATCTATGTACCCAACGAGGCTAAGCAAGGTATAAAGACTTGCCTGCCTCGGAATAACGGGGACAATGAAAACAACCCAACACAGCTGCAATGGAAGCACTAATAGGACTCCCACCTCTTCACTATGTGATACAAAGAGAGGCAAAATTAGGGGAAATCTTGACATTAGGCCAGACCACATGAGTATCTCAAGGTTAGTGACAGGAGACGTGCTAGACATGAGATCAGACCACATAACCAAGACATAATACTCCATTTGAGGTTTTAATACAGGAATGATCGGAGATCACCATAAGGGAGCCTAATGCCTAACTACACGAACAACCTTGGTATACAGACGGGTCTAAGATTGCAGAAGGCATTGGGGCGGAAGTATTATCCAAAAACCCTGATATTAACCCTAGCTATGCTATAGGAATACATTCCTTGGTATTTCAGGCCGAGGTCTACGCAATTTTGCAATGTGCAAAACCGAACAATGAGAGAGCTGTCGAAAATCAGCATATTCAAATAATGTCAGACAGCTAAGCGACACTTAAGGCCATATCGAGTCAGAAAGTTACGTCGAGGCTGGTATGGGATCGAAGGCAACGAAAAGACTGAAGAACTTGCAAAGGGAGGGTCAGAAGAAGCAACAGAACCAGACACAAACCCAGGAGTACCAAAAGGTACAGTTCGGGGTTTTATAAACGACTGGATTCGGGAACAACATATTAACTATTAGAGAAGCACCCCAAAACAGGCACATGGAAAAGCCTTCATAGGCAGACCATGTGCCAAAAGAACTGGAGAACTACTCTTTATGAATAGGAACCAGTTGAAAGTTTTAACAGGGTTCATGACTGGGCACGCCCCAGTAAAGGGATACTTGAACAAAATTGGCATGTACAATGTGGAACTGATGTGCCAACTATGTCACAAGAAACCAGAAACGGCCAAATACATACTGTGCTCCAGATTGCAAAAGACAGGCACTTTTTGGACAACCCTAGGTTGATCCAACAATGTATAGAATCCACTCATCCAAGGATTTGTACAAGGTACAATAAATGACAGAGTGGGTAAAACACAATAAGCCAATAGGCTTCAATGTTATTCGGAAACATAGTCAGACGAGCCCAGAAGAAAAAAAAATGTGTACTATCAAATTTTTTTTACCATTTGACCAATTGGAACCATATTGGCAATATCAGTACCAGGACCTGCGTAAGGATAGTTGTAATTTGGAGTTTATGGTTGTTCCCAATTACATGGCATCTAAATCCAAGGAAAAAGATGGAAATTGCAAAACGAATCTTATTAAGAATAAATCTGCCACACAGGTCAAGGTAAAAAGAGGGAAGAATAAGCAGCAAGGTTATGAAAATAGGGCGTAAATTACCCTAAAAAGGAGGATACAGTTTTATCTCCAAGGGTTTTTGGAAATAGGAAATTAAATGGATGAATAAAATTAAAAATACAGAACTAAAAAATCAAATGTTATTAATCAATTATAGAGGGAATAAATTTGCCACACAGGCCAAGACGAAAACTGTGAAAAATAGGCAGCAACGTTTTGAAAATAGGGCGTAAATTACCCTAAAAAGGAGGATACAGTTTTATCTAGAAGGGTTTTTGGAAATAGGAAATTAAATACATGAAGAAAATTAAAAATACAGAATTAAAAAATCAAATGTAATTATTCAATTATTGAGGGAATAAATTTGCCACACAGGTCAAAACGAAAACTGTGAAAAATAGGCAGCAACGTTTTGAAAATAGGGCGTAAATTATCCTAAAAAGGAGGATACAGTTTTATCTAGAAGGGTTTTAGGAAATAGGAAATTAAATGAATGAATAAAATTAAAAATACAGAATTAAAAAATTAAATGTTATTAATCAATTATTGAGGGAATAAATTTGCCACACAGGTCAAAACGAAAACTGTGAAAAATAGGCAGCAACGTTTTGAAAATAGGGCGTAAATTACCCAAAAAAGGATGATACAGTTTTATCCAGAAGGGTTTTAGGAAATAGGAAATTAAATGGATGAAAAAAATTAAAAACAGAATTAAAAAATCAAATGTTATTAATCAATTATAGATTCACTTACCCTTTGTTTGAAAGTGAATGAGAACATATCCAAACTACAGTAACGGATTGTTTGTATTTAAAAGAATACTCCAAATTAGGTTTACTATATTTGAATAGGTACCATTAATGTAACATTGAATTGCAAATTATATTATTTAATTTACTTATTTCGTTAGGCAACCAACAATATCAATTCACAGTAATTTGTGTAGCAAACAACCACACATGCAAAGTGGTCAATGATACTGTCCATAAAAAGTACATTATTAATGTATTTTTTGCTATTAATTTTTAATTTCCATCGTTATATATTTGATTTTGTTAAAAAAACACAATTATTACCAATACAGATGGGTATTTAGATACCTACAAAACAAAAAATACATTTTTTGTTTGCATTTCTCATGGACAAAGTCTATACCTAGGGCATACATTTTCAAAACCTCCTTCCTCCCCCGTATCAGGAAAGTCGAAAGTAAAATATAGAGCACGGTAAAAAAAAGCAAGGTGTATCTATGTGAAGCTCAAAATGATTTAAATAAAACCATTCATATAGTTGTTATAATTTCAATTAAACCAAAAAAAAAATAGAAACAAATCAATTTTTAGAAGATTGACATCTTAGTGTCTATCAATTTTCAAAACTTAAAAGATAGTTCTTTAAATTCTGGTGATTAAAATTGAATAGATAAATACCTAGAAAGAATTATCTATAAGGAAATTATTTATTAATGTACCTAAAAATCATATAATAAAAGATTATGGTCCTTCATTGCTTGAGAACAAAGAATTGCACAATATAGTAAAGGTCCATTGGTATGTGCGCAATGGAGATCTTCATCGAGACCTTAGAATTCCAACAGTGAAAGAACATATCAAATATTTGATGGCAAACGACGATAGTAGATGAGATTAGCCAGTTCTGGACCAAGGTCAAAGGTCCAGAACTGGCTAATCTCATCTACTTACGATAAAATTGTAATTTGCATTATAACGTATACAAATGGTTTTTTTTTTTAGATTTTGTGCATTTTTATAATATTTTTATTGTTATGAATAGTTTCTTACAATAAAATGAAAAAACCATAACAAACAAAAAAATAAATCAATAAATATATGCACAAATAATATAATTAATGTGATGTTAAGCCAAATAAATAAAACCATGCAGAGATATATTTCCTTAACTAAGAATGGAAATTATAGATTAAAATATGATCCCGAATTATATTTTTAACAGATATTTTTTAAACAATATCAACATTTGACATTATTTTTAATCTATAATTTCCAGAAAATGGAGATTTTCAATCAAATTCTGATTTAATTTTATCAAAATAGAATCATCAGAAAGGTAATTATGATTTTTAAGTTTAAAAAATTCAGAATTTCATTGAAAATATTAAATTATTTATGTACCATTATATAAATAATATTTTGGTGCGATTATTTACTAATGAGTCATCCTAAACTAATAAAATGATGAAAATATGAAGATTATACAGATATTAAAAAAATTGAAATTGCATTACCTATCTTGTGACATCTCATTTTAAAAATAATTCAAACAGTGTACCAACTGGGGGGCTACATTCAAACTCGAGAGAAAGCGTATTCTCTGAAGATTTTCATGTGAACTGTCATAGTGTTAAGTAAAATTAATTTCAAATTTATTTTTAACAACAACTTCTCCATAACCCCTCGTAAACGACCAAAATTTATTCGAATATCGCCCAGGATCGCAAAAATACGGTTTGCGCGCCGGCTACTGTCGCCTGGATCGTCCTTACGTCGACCAAGCTCTTGAAACTCTAGAGCTAGTCATCCAGCAGTCACTTGCCTCCAATTCGAACACAGTGACAGTATCCAAGCCCCACAAATTCAAAGACCTAATCTCAGCAAGGAAGAGAGCAATTCGGATTCAGAGAGGAACACTCGACCGAACTGCAAGTCCTAAGACTCGTCGAAGGAATCACTAGAGGATTCAACAGAAATCAGTCTACAGGTACCATATTCTTGGATGTCGCCAAGGCATTCGACAGGTTCACAGCAGGAATGACAAAACTGCTCAGGTAGTACCTCAGCGGAAGGCAATTCCGGATCAAGATGGGACATGTCCTATCAAGACCTGGAATTCCAGAAGCAGGAGTACCCCAAAGGGCGGTACTGTCACCACTGCAGTTACTTCCCCAAGAAGAACCCAGTTATTTATCTCTCGTCCAAGCTTTGGAGACAAGATATGACCAACAGCATTTCAAACGGGTATTCTAAAGCCAGCTAAAGGTTCGTGGTCAAAAACATAATGAAAGTCTACAGGAATTCGAGGTCAACATAAGAAGATTGATTCATTTGGCCTAAGATTTCCAAGTACAAAATGAAATATAGACATTCATTGATGGACTACAAGATGTAAAAATGCAGCAAGCCCTTCGTCTACATCACAAGACGTTGAGGGAGAAACTGATTCCAGCCCAGGAATATGAAGTGGTAAAACTCTTATCCAGATGTTCTCGCGCAATAGTAAGAAAAATTAAACCCTAAGAAAGTGAGGAGGCCAATACTTATACCATTCCCCAAATCTTAAATATCCTGCAAAATATGAAACGAACCAGCCAAAATGGAAGCAAGAGATGCTTTAATTGCGGAAGAATCGGACACCTTCAAAGGCCTTGCAGAAGCAGGGCTCGTTCTATAAATCAAGAATCAAAAAGTCACATAGATCAATTTACTAAAGCCCATGACAAAGTCCAACAAGAAATAATTACAGCAGTTGTGCGTCAATTACAACATCGTAGAAGCCGTCTTTATAGTAACGCAGATATTCTCTGCAGGTGACCCTGTTTAGAACGAGAATGCCGGTACAATAAAGGGCTCGGAAAACGAGAGGAACCGGTTGATAAAGTTACTCTTCGGGCAACCACTATCAAGCCAGAGGGCGACGAAGAAAAAATTACCCTTGAAAGCCGCCTGAGAAAGGGACAGAAGACAGACAATGACTTGAAGGGTGTCCAAGAATAGTAAGGGTGTCAAAATATTCATAACGAAACTTTTTAAGACGCAATAATATTTGAATTCCCAACTTTTTGCGAGTTCTGAAATTACCTCAGCGAAGCAAGTCCAACAACTATTGTATGCTTATTTCACCGACTAAATTTCTCTACATCCAAGGTTACCCCGAGTCATCAGACCTTTCATTACTATGGAAACCAGTGAAATTTTTAATTTACTAAAAATCTTCAACCACGAGGTAATTTTATTCCCTTATCTGTCATTACTACGACTGTAGGTAACTGTATGCTTTGGAAAACTTTCTTTTAATGAGTAATCATCCGTCAAAAATTAATTTTCCGAAAATATTGTCAAATAGAAATGCATTATTATTATGATTAATTAAAATGTATAAATAGTGACAAAATTGACAGATTAAATGTGTAAAATTTGTTAAAATATTAAAAATTAATAAATATATTTATAATTTCAGTTAGTTGTCGCAAAAATTGATGATAATGATGATGACGATGATATTTTCAAATATAAATTATCAAACGTTTTCATTTTAACACTTGACAGCTGGTTGTAAAATGTATGAATTTGGTAAATATTTCTCAGATGTTCAGAGTGTAGTAATTTTTCTTCTGCTACACATAAATCTATACAGTTATAGTGCTAAAATAAAACGAATGAAACAACCATCACCCCTACACCTTTGTATCACGTTTTTTACACCAACAAACCTTTATCAAAAACGAAATGGTGATAAATATCGAAAAGATGAACATTCCTCCTAGTCCGTAAAGGTGTAACGTTCGTCTTCCCATCCTATCCATAAGAGGGATAGAAATTAATGTCATGACGACCATAATGCAACCGATACCGATTGTCGCAAACTTGGCACTGTCCTCTGGTAGACCGGAACTCACGAATAGGCTCGTTGAATAGTAGAATACCTAAAAAATTATATTAAAGTAATATATTTAAAAAAAACTGTACCTACACAACGAAATATCATACTTTGATTATATTGGGAAACAGGATCAAACATATACTAAGTAGGGACGTTGCATTCAAAGAAGAAAAAACGATAAAAGAAAATTTCTTTGTCTTTGACAGTAAACTACCAGAATAAACTGAAAACGTACCTAGTGTTAAGTCTTCACTTATTTAGTATATGTAAGTTTATATTTAAAATTATCATCCAGTATGAAACGTAATATTTCACTATTTCATTACTTATACTTCGCCAAGACGGTATTGCCCTATTAGTAAAATGCCACATCTGCGTGGCAAAGAACGATTCTTAAATTCAACCGGGCAAACATCAGCATCAGAATTGTTTAATGTATGCTTAATTAAAATATATTGGTTTTAAAAGGAAAAAAGATGATCCAAGGGAGGGCTTATGGAACTTTCCGATTTTGCTGTATTTTTAAGAAATTGCACAAAGGAAAATTCTGCTGAATTGAAAGATGAGAATATACCAATGCAGGAAGAATCATTTAAGGAAATGACGGTTCAAAAATTAAGGTGAAAAGAAACTTTATATCAAAATTATATATTATTTTAATTATTCATTACTTACCGCGTTGATACCGGAAAACTGTTGACTTAACTGCATAACTACACCGATGATGAGCGGCATCCTTAATGTGGGTGAACATATCAACTCCATCATACCTATGGAAGCTTCCGATTGCTGAGCCCTTTCTTCCGCTCTCATTTCCTCTATGTCCTCCTCTACTGCGTTGCTGGCGCGCAGCCTCCTCAAAGCCTTACGCGCCTCTTCTTCCCATTGTTTCGTTATGAGGAGGTATCGAGGACTTTCGGGACATACAGGTAGCAGGACCTTAAAAAAATAGTTTATAAAACTACAATTGAATTTGGTCGAAAACGTTTCGTGTTAAATGAATAAAACTACAGAATTAAAGTCCAGTATTACTAGGGATCTAATAAAAATGGTAAAAAATAAACGCAATTATGGAGAATATATAAAAACACACAAGGCAACGAAGATTTAATTTGTCACAAGAAATTTTCCAATTAGCTGAAGCTCTTCTACAAGATAATCTTACGAAAAATCAATTACAAACAGTAACAATACTAAAAAATGTTTAAATACCATCCATTCTTGTTTTTATCATAACATTTTATCCCTTTTTAGCCCATGGCAATCTCTAGACGGTGTTGGGTTCGAATACAATTAGAATCATTTATCTTGAAGATCGTTTGGATTCGAATATAATAAGAATCATTTTTTTTTTTTTTTTTTAATTTGGTGTCATCGGCGTCGATTACTACGGCCATTAGCCTCGTGTTCTGTGTAGGCTTTGTTACTGTTTCCCAGCGCCACTTTAGGAACAGCACTGTTAATTAGAACCCAACAGTGAATGGTCGAGTGGGGAATCCTACCAAGGCATAAGAATCATTTATCTTCGAAATCGTTTGGGTTCGAATACAACAAGAATTATTTATCTTGAAAATCGTTTGGGTTCGAATACAATAAGAATCATTTAATTTATCTTCAAAATCGTTTGGGTTAGAATACAACAAGAATCATTTATCTTGAAGATCGTTTGGGTTCGAATACAATAAGAATCATTTATCTTGAAGATCGTTTGGTTTCGAATACAATAAGAATCATTTATCTTGAAGATCGTTTGGGTTCGAATACAATAAGAATCATTTATCTTGAAGATCGTTTGGGTTCGAATACAACAAGAATCATTTATCTTGAAGATCGTTTGGTTTCGAATACAACAAGAATCATATATCTTGAAGATCGTTTGGGTTCGAATACAATAAGAATCATTTATCTTGAAGATCCTTTGGGTTCGAATACAACAAGAATCATTTATCTTGAAGATCGTTTGGGTTCGAATACAACAAGAATCATTTATCTTGAAGATCGTTTGGGTTCGAATACAACAAGAATCATTTATCTTGAAGATCGTTTGGGTTCGAATACAATAAGAATAATTTATCTTGAAGATCGTTTGGTTTCGAATACAACAAGAATCATATATCTTGAAGATCGTTTGGGTTCGAATACAACAAGAATCATTTATCTTGAAGATCGTTTGGTTTCGAACACAACAAGAATCATATATCTTGAAGATCGTTTGGATTCGAATATAATAAGAATCATTTATCTTCGAAATCGTTTGGGTTCGAATACAACAAGAATCATTTATCTTGAAAATCGTTTGGGTTCGAATACAATAAGAATCATTTAATTTATCTTCAAAATCGTTTGGGTTAGAATACAACAAGAATCATTTATCTTGAAGATCGTTTGGGTTCGAATACAATAAGAATCATTTATCTTGAAGATCGTTTGGTTTCGAATACAATAAGAATCATTTATCTTGAAGATCGTTTGGGTTCGAATACAATAAGAATCATTTATCTTGAAGATCGTTTGGGTTCGAATACAACAAGAATCATTTATCTTGAAGATCGTTTGGTTTCGAATACAACAAGAATCATATATCTTGAAGATCGTTTGGGTTCGAATACAATAAGAATCATTTATCTTGAAGATCCTTTGGGTTCGAATACAACAAGAATCATTTATCTTGAAGATCGTTTGGGTTCGAATACAACAAGAATCATTTATCTTGAAGATCGTTTGGGTTCGAATACAACAAGAATCATTTATCTTGAAGATCGTTTGGGTTCGAATACAATAAGAATAATTTATCTTGAAGATCGTTTGGTTTCGAATACAACAAGAATCATATATCTTGAAGATCGTTTGGGTTCGAATACAACAAGAATCATTTATCTTGAAGATCGTTTGGTTTCGAACACAACAAGAATCATATATCTTGAAGATCGTTTGGATTCGAATATAATAAGAATCATTTATCTTCGAAATCGTTTGGGTTCGAATACAACAAGAATCATTTATCTTGAAGATCGTTTGGGTTCGAATACAACAAGAATCATTTATCTTGAAGATCGTTTGGGTTCGAATACAATAAGAATCATTTATCTTCAAAATCGTTTGGGTTCGAATACAATAAGAATCATTTATCTTTAAAATCGTTTGGGTTAGAATACAACAAGAATCATTTATCTTGAAGATCGTTTGGGTTCGAATACAACAAGAATCATTTATCTTGAAGATCGTTTGGGTTCGAATACAATAAGAAACATTTATCTTGAAGATCGTTTGGGTTCGAGTACAATAAGAATCATTTATCTTGAAGATCGTTTGGGTTCGAATACAACAAGAATCATTTATCTTGAAGATCGTTTGGGTTCGAATACAACAAGAATCATTTATCTTGAAGATCGTTTGGGTTCGAATACAACAAGAATCATATATATTGAAGATCGTTTGGGTTCGAATACAACAAGAATCATTTATCTTGAAGATCGTTTGGGTTCGAATACAACAAGAATCATTTATCTTGAAGATCGTTTGGGTTCGAATACAACAAGAATCATATATATTGAAGATCGTTTGGGTTCGAATACAATAAGAATAATTTATCTTGAAGATCGTTTGGTTTCGAATACAACAAGAATCATATATCTTGAAGATCGTTTGGGTTCGAATACAACAAGAATCATTTATCTTGAAGATTGTTTGGGTTCGAATACAACAAGAATCATTTATCTTGAAGATCGTTTGGGTTCGAATACAACAAGAATCATATATATTGAAGATCGTTTGGGTTCGAATACAATAAGAATAATTTATCTTGAAGATCGTTTGGTTTCGAATACAACAAGAATCATTTATCTTGAAGATCGTTTGGGTTCGAATACAACAAGAATCATATATATTGAAGATAGTTTGGGTTCGAATACAATAAGAATAATTTATCTTGAAGATCGTTTGGTTTCGAATACAACAAGAATCATTTATCTTGAAGATCGTTTGGTTTCGAATACAACATGAATCATATATCTTGAAGATCGTTTGGGTTCGAATACAACAAGAATCATTTATCTTGAAGATCGTTTGGGTTCGAATACAACAAGAATCATTTATCTTGAAGATCGTTTGGGTTCGAATACAACAAGAATCATATATATTGAAGATCGTTTGGGTTCGAATACAATAAGAATAATTTATCTTGAAGATCGTTTGGTTTCGAATACAACAAGAATCATATATCTTGAAGATCGTTTGGGTTCGAATACAACAAGAATCATTTATCTTGAAGATCGTTTGGGTTCGAATACAACAAGAATCATTTATCTTGAAGATCGTTTGGGTTCGAATACAACAAGAATCATTTATCTTGAAGATCGTTTGGGTTCTAATACAAAAAGAATCATTTATCTTGAAGATCGTTTGGGTTCGAATACAAGAAGAATCATTTATCTTCGAAATTGTTTGGGTTCGAATACAACCAGAATCATTTATCTTGAAGATCGTTTGGGTTCGAATATAACAAGAATCATTTATCTTGAAGATCGTTTGGGTTCGAATACAATAAGAATCATTTATCTTGAAGATCGTTTGGGTTCGAATACAACAAGAATCATTTATCTTGAAGATCGTTTGGGTTCGAATACAACAAGAATCATTTATCTTGAAGATCGTTTGGGTTCTAATACAAAAAGAATCATTTATCTTGAAGATCGTTTGGGTTCGAATACAAGAAGAATCATTTATCTTCGAAATTGTTTGGGTTCGAATACAACCAGAATCATTTATCTTGAAGATCGTTTGGGTTCGAATATAACAAGAATCATTTATCTTGAAGATCGTTTGGGTTCGAATACAATAAGAATCATTTATCTTGAAGATCGTTTGGGTTCGAATACAACAAGAATCATTTATCTTGAAGATCGTTTGGGTTCGAATATAGAGTTAAATGTATAAGTTTTAAATAGAGTGGTGTCCAACTTCTTTTTCAAAGTTATTAGAGTTATTTAAAAATCTAACCCACGCCCTATAAATTGCGCTCAAACACATATATCAAAGTAGATAAAATAACCAACTATTCTATGTTACAACCTATATTTTCAATGTGTCAAACTTTCAAAAAATCTGACGGAATGCTGTAAAAACATTTATAGAAACAAGAAAAATTGATTTTTATGCATTTTTTATTATCAAAGTATGTTATATCCCTGTACTTAAGCATGGTATTAATTAATCTTTCAACATATCTTAAAATTTATGTTGTTCCAGACGTTATTTATTCTACGCTACCCTTAATTTATCTCGCGTACATTCTGATGGTCATGCACGTATAACTTGGTGATTTATATAATGAATTTATTTTCATAACATACATAAATGTACCGAATACAGCGATAAAGTCCGCACGCCATTAAACTTTTATATATCTCTCCTATTTTGATGGCGGGCAATTAGAAATTGAATTATTTATTGAACCGTAATACTGAAACAATTAAAGAGAGACCAAATTCCCATTGGACAATGTTATATTAATCGAATTACTTCTATTTGAGTTGTAAAATCGTATAAAATTGGAAGTGGGTATAAAACTAAAACAAAAATAGGGATGGAAAAAAAATTACGTTACAGACAACATAATTTAATTGGATTAATAACGTTTTTAATTCGCTTTTTATTAAAAAAATCGAATGTATACAATTTGCCTTGAACAATCATAATAAATGAAATATTAACATTTAAAAAAACTGAAGATTTAATCTACAATAGCACAGAAGATAGAACAATACAGAAAAGAATGATAGGACTAGTTCCATCACAGAGATACTCTGAGAAAATGTAACTATTCACAGTACACGTTTTCTCAGAGTGGTAGCTTGTGCCGATAAATTAGCTGCTAGTAGTTTTCCATAATTATCTTGTCTTTTGTGTTTATTGTGTGTTAACGTTAAAATAATTGTCAGCTAATGTTTCTTTCACTTTATATTTTAACATTTTGCTGAATAACAATATAAATTACGTCATCACTATTACAGTACGATTCAAGCATCGATTAAATGGTTTTTAATATCTCCGGAACAAAAATGTTTACAAAAAATTATTATTAAAATAACTTACCAGTTGTAACACGGCCGGTACCACCGCAAGACCGAGGAGAAGAGGCCATCCTTCGTTGGTACCTAATATTTGTTCTATTCCCAAAACTTGTGATAGAAGAAGACCGATGGTGGCTGCGAGCTGGTTGACGGTACCGAGACCACCTCGGAGATTTAAAGGCGATATTTCCGATATATACATTGGTACTAAAGATGTATTCAGTCCTAAAATTAAAAAGATTTTGTGAAATCATGTACGACACAAAAATATAAATGTAGAACGTAGATTATTTATAAAATTGTGTTTTGGTAAAAAATTACTAACATCCATGCAACCAATATTACATTCTTGTATTGTTAGTTGCATTAATTTTATTGACAAATAGAAAATCATTAATTTCTTATATTGCTTTTTAAAATTATTTAGGTTTCACCAGGTCACCAAGGGATCGAAGGCAACGAAAAGGCTAACAAACTTGCAAAAAAAGGGTCAGAAGAAACACCGGAACCAGACACAAACTCAGGAGTACCAAAAAGAACAGTCCGGGGTTTCATAAACGAGTGGTTTCGGGAAAAACATATTAACTATTGGGGAAGCCCCCCTAAACAGGCACATGGAAAAGCCTTCATGGGCAGACCATGTCTCAAAAGAACTGGAGAACTATTCTTTATGAATAGGAATATGCCATAGTAAAGGGACACTTGAACAAAATTGGCATGTACAATGGGGAACTCACGTGCCGAGTATGTCATAAGAAACCAGAAACGGCTCCAAACACATACTGTGCACTTTGAAGCTCTAGATCGCAAAGACAGGCACTTTTTGGGCAACCCCAGGTTGATCCAACAACGTATAGAATCCATTCACCCAAGGAGGATCTGTACAAACTTGTACGGTACAAAGGTGACAGAGTGGGTGCTATGAACTAACTTGGGGTAAAACACAATAAGCCAGTAGGCTTCAGTGTTATTCGGAGACATAGGCAGATGAGCCCAGGAGAAAAAAAAAAGATATGGTAACTAGTCCACTATATGGTAGTTAGCAACGAATAAAAGCTAGGAGGTAGTTGGTAGTTGATAGTCGATGGCCTGAAAACAGGATGACGTGAGCCAATTTATTCATTTCTCTTTTTTTTTCTGTATCAAATGTGTTTATATGTACTATTTTAATGAATAAATTATTATTATTATATTATTATTAATATATTGAATTTTTATGATGATATGAGATCAAGTTAGCAAACCGTGAAGAAGACGCGGCTTTCTAAAGATATGTATACAAATCCACTATCGTTCATTGAATTTCTTTTTGTTTTAGGCTTTTTAAATCTGAAATAAATTTAGATTATTTTAATGAGTCCACACGGCTCAATATCCGTCCAAAAAAAGAGACAGAACCAGGAAGTGAAAGAGAAAGCATACTTTTTTAATCTAGGTAGGTGAAACCTAACCGTAGTAGGCTAAATATTTTTAGGCAGAAGAGTACCTAATATTTTGGACAATATTGGGAAAAAGAAGAAGAGTTCAAGAGAGTATTTTGGAATGTAAACAATAATTCAAGTATTAGCATTATTTTAAACTGTAAGTATTTATTTATTTTTTTTTTAGTTCTGTTCCACAAAAGTATTGAGCCCGAAACAGATAATACCCTTTTAGCTTTGGCAATACGCGTTTTTCTCTTTAACGTTAATCTACATGTAATTTTTTCCACTCCCCAGTTTTTTCCATTCGATTCGGACCAATAACAATGAAGATATACATTAGTGCTATTTTGTTATTATCAATGCGCCTAATTTATCTTCTCTAAGTTAATCTACGTCACGTTCTTTTCATAGAGCCGTTTCTCTCATTCGATTCTGACTAATAACAATGGAGATATACGTTAAAGCCCTTTTGGTACTGCCCCTGCGCATGATTTTTTTCGTTCGAATCGCATGTTGACTTTTAAAATTGTGAGATAGGACGCACTTTGTCTATCTACTAAGTTTAGTTTACTACTAGAGGCTCCATGTGTAATGAAAAATTGATTATATATCGCCTATTCTTTCAGATAGTAGTATTTAAAATGATGGTGGATAAAATGACCGCCTAAATTTTTGGCTTGTAATCTATGATGAAAATCTATTTTTGTTTGTTTCTAAGTTTTCCATAAAAGTTAAAACAAATTAAGTTTCTTCAGATAATGTGAATTTATTTGTATTGAATTTATATAAACAAATTTGAATAATTTGTCCTATTTTTAAATAAAAATATCTTTAGTCTATTTTTTAACTCATTAAACGATGAGACAGCATTTATTCTATTGGATTTAGCAAGTCTTCTTTTTAATTCTGAATTATATCACATAACATTAACTTCTATGTATATAAAAGCTGATTCTCTTAGTTTGTGGGGATACAAAGCATTTCAGTGGTTTTAAAAATATATATGAGTATCAGAAAAGTTCAAAAGCACTGTTTCTCTTCCAAATTTATAAATAGTTACATGATACATCGAGAACTTCATAAAGTTGGATATCATATACTATAATACCAGTTTGAGGTATGTGACATTTAATACCCACCCACGGCGTATTTAGTTCGATGTTCTGGAAACATATATACATCGCATGTGAAGATGTGACCCAATAAGGAAAATAAACAGGGTAGTATTAATAATATTGTTCGAGGTATTAAAGAAGAAACTTTGTTTGCCTAAACGTAAATGCCCTAAGTTATTTTGCATACACCTAACAAACTTCGTTATAAATAAATTTTTATTATTAATATTCTTACACAGTGTGTGAACAAAAATAAGAATAAATACAAAAAAAGGATAACAAAATGCTTACAGAGAAATTTTTGGAATTTAGTTGTTTTCGACTTTTTGTAAAATTAAACAGTCACAAAAGTAGGATATAATGTATGAGAGACAGAGCTAGATTTCAAACGTAACCCGTAGAGAGAGAAAGAGATATGCTTTATTGTCGTAAAAAAATTTACAAAAATTTTATAGACAAAGCGTGTAACTTAAATACTAAACATATTATAAAAATAACTAAACAGCAGAAAAAACAAACAGAAACAAACAGACAAAATAGGAATAACAATTGCAATGGATATGCAATATCCGTCATTATAATTATTCTAATTTAATTTTTAAATTTAAATTTAAACTTTAATATTTAATTATTTAATTATTTAATTAATGCCATTGTATGTGGAACTCAAATGTCTAAGGTACGTTATAACATTCTGCTACTGTGTAATATGGTCTTTCTAGAAGAAAAGCTTTAGCCAGTCTTCGGAACTTATCGTATGTATTTATAGATTTTAATTGCATCGGAAGGTTATTATACAATTTTTTGGCATTGTAGGTAATGGAATGTTTTAATAGGTCAGAAGTGGGCATTGTTAAACATCAGTCTCTTAATTTCTTGTAGGATATCTACGAGTCGGTCTTTCGGATAAATTTTGAATGTGCTTGCGAACTAAGCAGACGGATTCGAAAATAAATAGAGCAGGAAGGGTTAGAATTTTGAAATTTTTGAAGTAATTTTTGCAATGTGTCCTACTACTTAAACCAAATAAATAGCGGATTGCTCTTTTTTACAGTTTAAAAATAGATTCGAAAAGGTATAAGCTACAAGAACCCCAGAAAGGTAAACCATAGCGAAGGTGAGATTCGAATAAGGAAAAGTAGGTTATTAATGCAGTAGAAGAAGTCAGCTCTTTAGAAACCGATTTAATGGCAAAACATGCGGAGGATAATTTTTTTGCTAAGGTATCTATATGAGCAGACCATTTTAGAGAATCGTCTATATAAAGACCTAAAAACTTGATTGAAGTCACCGTTTGGATCAGATTATTGTTTAAAGTTATAGGTTGTAAAGTACCTCTGTAAGACAATGCTACAGTTTTACTGGTGTTGAAACAAAGTCCATTCGAATCAGACCAGGACTTAATAGTCATTAGATCTTCACTTATGATAGATTGTAATGTCTGCATGTTAGAATTATTCCAGGTTACACTGGTGTCATCAGCAAATAAAGTAATTCTACCACTTATTCTTAAGTCTGTGATGTCGTTGATGAATAATAAAAACAAAATTGGACCTAATACTGATCCTTGAGGTACTCCACTGCTTATTGCTAGATTTGTAGAATCCTCACCATTCGCCCGCACCTGTTGATTTCTATTTTCTAGGTAAGTTTTAAACCATTGTAAAGGAGAACCCCGTATGCCATAAATTTGTAACTTATTAATTAAAATATCATGATTTACACAATCGAAGGCCTTTGCGAAGTCACAAAATAATGAAGCGGTAAAAAGTTTATCATTAAGTGATGTGTATATTTCATTAAGAACGGAAAACATTGCGTCGCTAGTGCATTTTTTAGGTAGAAAGCCATACTGATGAGCTGTGAGGATGTTATGCTTGAAAAGAAAGGGCAAAAGACGGTTTTTCATTAGCCGTTCTACTATCTTCGATAAGGTAGGCAATAACGCGATAGGTCTATAGTTACAGGTTTTGGTTTTGGCGCCACCTTTATGAAGTGGGATTATTATAGCTGTTTTTAGACAGTTAGGAAAAAGACCAATTTCAAAGGATTCATTAATCAGTGAAGTTAAAATGTTGATTACTACATCCGGTATATTTAGAAATATTTTGGTGGACAGGCCATCAATTCCACAGAAAAATTTATTTTGGATGTTGTTTATGGTTTGCACTAGTTCATGCTTGTCTACTGGTCTTAGGAAGAAACTTTCAGTGATCCTTTTAGTAGGTAGGAGGAAGGAGAGAGCAGTCTGACTCGGAGCTATGTTAGATTTGGTATTTTTACTTACATTTACGAAATAATTGTTTAGTTCATCTGGGCTAGGATTTACACTGTTTGAAGAACGGGTTTTATTCCTTAAGTCATTTATTATAGACCAGGTTTCTTTGGAGGAGTTTTTAGCTCTTGCGATGCGATTTTTGTAATAGTTTTTCTTAGCAGATTTGGTGATTTTCCGATACAATATTCTGTAGTTGTTGATATAGTTTAATATTAGGGGATTATCTGTGTACTTTTTAATATACATGAGTGACCTCATATTTTTAGATGATGTTCTTATTCCTTTAGTTGTCCAAGATTTATGACATTTAGTTTTAATGGGGCGAAGGGGGAAAGCTGTATTGAAACACATAATTATTTTAAATAAGAAGTCTAAAAATTTAGATTCAATATCTTCAGAAAGACCATT